CAACATATTGCATGTTACCCTTCACTAGTGACCAAGTTGTTTCTTCAACAAAGCAATAAATAAAACATTATCTTCTAATTATATATGAGATGCTAAATAAAAGATTTACCAAAAATGGAAGTTAATGCTTTCTAAAACTCTATATGCAATGTTTTCATACTGTTTATTGTAAAATTGCCAAAACATATATAAATACCATATAAATAACATTCTGAATATGTTCAAATTACAGAAGCATTACCCAAAAATATCATCACATATCTGAAAAGGTAACTTTTACATATGAATAATGCTCCTCTTTTTTGCATAAAGATGATGTCAACCAACCTATCATTGGAAGGACATTAGACTATGAGAAATTTTTCCAGTTGTGGTGAAGAATTAAATTTTAAGCCATCCCGTTTCCTAGTTCTTCATGTATAAGGAGGTAGCTAGTTCATAAAGGTCACCAATTAATGGTTTTCTACAAAGAAAAGCAAACCAAATTATCAAACTAGCTGAAGAAAATAGTCAAGCAAGAGTCTGTGTAGTCAATGGTGTGGCTGACATTCTCACATCCATTTCTAACCACACCCTCATCCCCATTATTGATTTGAAAGGATTATCAGTTTCCTGGCAATCTCAGTGATTGTTTTAGTCCAGAAATGGGCACATGAGCTCAGGCAGCCCAATCACCACTGATTTATAGATGACAGACATGGAAAAGGTTCTCCGTCTACTAATGGATGTGAACAAAGAAGCATATATTACCAACTGCCACCACAAGGGAAGTATCTTAGGATGAAGCCCACAGAAGAAACACACTGAAAGTAACTGGCTCCTTCTAGACTTCAAACTATGCCTAGAGAAAACCCCACCTATGAACTTCCTATTATGTGAAGTAATAAATATCCTTATTGTTTAAGCTAGAATCAAGTATTTAATACTTGTGCCTAAAAACATTCTGAACAACAGAAGACTTGGTTCCTGAGAATTTTGTGCAGTCACCATACCAAACCTGGAGATAGCCCTTTTAATGATATTATAGAATTTCTACAAATTCGGAGGGCATACTTTCAATAATTTGATGAATTATATATATATCATCTGGCTTCATTAAAATTCTCTTTTAGGATTGGGAAGCCTTTAAAAGATAGTATGATTTTTTTGAAGCAAATAAAACTGAGGTATAAGAAGTGCATGTGATGTGAAAAGATGTTACCAAAAAAAACACACCCCAAAGAAATAAAAAACTAAAGAGAAAAAATTTTAAAAAAATTTTTAAAGAAGTTCATGTAATTATCAGTTGGGAGAAACATGGCATCCATACGAAAATATGGTGAACTGAGAAATAAATATGAATGCTCAAATTCAAAGTCACAAAGTTAATACTCTAAATGGCAGGAACAGATTTGTAATTGATCCATTTCTTCCATAAGCATTTGTTCCATTTCTTCCATGAGCGCTCTTTCTACTTGTTTACACATTTTATCAACAATTATACTCTACCTTCATTATACTTAGCATCTTATTTTAGGAAGATCTTAACATACTGTTTCTTAATCAGAAAAACACATTATTAAAACTTTAAAGGTACACTATACAAGTATCCATCACCAGAGTCTCTCTAGTAATACCCTTTTGACCAAAGCACATTCCTTATTCCTAATCTTTAAGTTACTTATCCATGAAAACTCCCAGTCTACTGTAACTAGAATTTTCTAAAGTCCTTAATACAGAAGGAGAGAAATCAGTTATTTGGACATCTTCATAATGCTTAAAGCCTGTTTAAGAATGATTACAGAAAATGGATTAAAGAAATGGACAATTTTCAAGAAGCCAAACAAAATCTATGATTGGAAAACACACATTTCATGTTCTTATACTATAAATATTCCAAATATTCCAGGATGGAGTATTGTCATTTGACAGGCAAAAGACAAAAGAAGAAAGAAAACTTTCCAAGCTCTAACTTAAGGCTTCTCCACGTTAGCAGCTCTTGGCATGTAACTTGCCCCCTGGCCATTTGTAACTGCTTAAGAATTGAAAAAAACAAAGCAAATTTTGCCCAAAAGTGACAGAAATGCAACAAATGACCAACTGCTTGAAGGAAGGAAGAATGGAAGAAAAATCTATCACTGGCTAGAATTTCAGGGAACTTATAAATGGGAAAACTTGCAGCTCACAAATACAAAGAAACAATTTTTAAGAGTTTCGAGATTTTCATATTAATGTCAGGAATGATTATTATACTCCTC